TATCTAAAAACATAATAAAACATTAAACCTTTAAAAACCTTCCCTATACAGGGATGCCCTCAGATGTCATCTAAAGGTTGCATTGGTACTTCTCGGCTCGGGGGCTCGCATAACTCCATATCTTCCAACATTTCTCTGATAGAAACAGGGACATCTTAAGGAATAGCGAGACGTTCCAGGATCAAATCGGAAACCAGGACGGCTTCTGTAAATCCGGGACTGTCCCTGGAAAATAGGGACACTTGGAGGGTCTGGAGATGTCTCCTATGAAAGAGTAAGAACACAGTGCAGACTTGGGGACCCTGAGAGGCAACAGAGGCTCATTCCCAGCACCCTGTGATATATAAAAGCACCTGCTGCTTTCCACTCCGCTTTGAGTGACAGGCAATTCCAGGGTGGCCTTTTATATGGACATATCAGCACTTGTTTTTAAACCCAATGCAAACCGCTGCTTATCTGCTGTTGGCTGAATGGCCATATCTCCTGCCTCCCCGCCACCCACCAACACGGCTTGACAGGCATCCTTCCCACAAAACTATCACCTCAAAGGGAAGCAAGTTTTCTGGGCTGGGCTGAAAATGAGCAGCAAGCCTGCATTTACATTGGACTAAGAATGGAATGTGAGGAGCAGCTGAAAGCGTTTGGCCTTGGCACTAAAAATCTTGCTTTTGAGCGGTGAGAGGGAAATGCACTTTTTTTGAAAGTAACATCTGAACTGCAGCTCCTTTGAGATGGCACCCACATCTCCCCCCCCCCCCCAAGTCTGACATGCCTGCCTTGGGAGAGGGATTTGTTGTGCAAACGGCAACAGATGGATAAGCCAAAAAGTGTGAGTGGAGACTCCCAACTTTGTCATTGCACCTTTTAAATGGAATCCTTTTTGTTTTGTTTTCCTCGTGGATGTTCAGTTTACTAAACCTCCATAGCAAGTCTCTGAGAAGCACCCACTCTTCCCTTCTCATTTCTGCCATATCATCACATTAACCCAATTAACCAAGCTTATCCTACAGCTGCCACGGAATGACAATGAGGAACAGGGGGTGGCTGGGGGGGGGATATCTTTAAAATTTTAACCTTTCCAAGAAAAGAAACTGAACAAGGAAACTAACGCAAACATCCCCCCCCTTCATTACTCATCCAATGAAACACCAGAGTCCTTCCTTTCTGGGCACCAGGAAGCAGGCAGGTATTTTACCAGTTGCCTACATAAGCTCACGACAAAGTGGAGCCATCACATACATGCAGGCAAATTCTAGATCCTGGTCCAAACCAGTCCATGCATGGAACCAGAATGAAACAAGACCTTCTCTCCTGCCCTTGAAGAAACTCAGGACTGGCCTCAGCACATGGTGGGGCATTTCCCCCCAATGCAGCCCATTTAGAGAGTCTGCAGAGTTAGGAAATCTGATGCCTGCCCCCAAATTGGTCACCCCCCCACTCTAGACCCTCTTTCACCAGACCTCAGCAGCAAAAGGGCCAATGAGCTGAGCTAGGACCTGGGAAGGGCCAGGGTTCAAGTCCTCAAGCGGCCATGAAGCACACTGGGTGTCCTTGGGCCAGTCGCTGTCTCTCTCAGCTTGACCTATCCCACAGGGTTATTGTGATGATTAAACAAGGGGGCGGGGAGAGAACCATATACGCCATGTTGAGCCCCTTGGAGAAAAAGGTGGGATATAAAAGCGATAAAATAAATAAAAACAAACTGTGGGCGACTTCCTGCAAAAAGAAAGCGAATATAGAAGGCAAAGGGCAGGTTTTTAATGTTAGTTCTCTACTGGCAAGGTATTTATTTTTGCAAAGGAAATTTATATGGTCTCATTTTTCCTACCACTACCTCCTCCTGAGTTCAACTCACTGAGCTCCCAATTGCTTTGTGAGCAGATTTTCCAGACTCAGTCCACCGCCGTCTCTGGGCGCAGTTCTGACTGTCACTTCAAACAGCGGAAGCGAATTCTCGTTTGATCTCCTGACAAACAAGCTGGACGATTTCCATCTCCGACTGTCTGTCTTCCCTCCCTCTGCACCCCTCCCCAAATTTGCTTCAGTCATCAGCACAAATAGAAAAAAAAAGCCATGAAAACCAACAGGTCGTTGAGAAAGGGAAGCTCGTTCTCCAGAGGCGCAGAAGGGAAGCGATCCCTTTTGAGCGTTTAGTCACACACATCAAAGGAAACAAGCGTTTCCATCTTCATTTGCATTGTGAAGGCATTTGATGTGGTCCAGTTCCAAAGGCGCCGCTTGAGGAGGCAGCAAGTGCCTTTGACGGCGCTGGGGAGCAAAAAGCAGCCAGGCAAGGAGAAGGAGGAGAAGTGGGAGATGGCCCGGCAGTGCCAAGGCACTCTGCATCTCCAGAAAAGGACAGAGCAATTTGCTCCGTTACCGGGGGGACTCATCGAAGCACGGATTCCTTGACACCTGCGATGGGAATGCTGGATTGGCGCTGATTCTTCAGCTCTCGAAACGAAGGCAGTTTTAATTGCTGTCCTAAAAAATAAAATCAAAATGCATCGACTGTTTTCTACTCTGGAACAAGCTCTGTAAAACATGGCTCCTTACTAGGGAATGCTGGTATGTTGGGTTTTTTATTTATTTAAATAGGATAGATAAAAGAAAGCCATTCTTCACAAAGCACATAGTGAAACCATGATTGTGAGTTGAGGACCTCCACCCACATAGGATTATAATAAGACACACAGACACATTATTTTAGGTTCATGGGCAAAATTAGGCCACAACTTTTATTGGTTACAGCATGTGAGTAGTATTGGCTTGGCACTGGATGAAACAGCAATACAAGACTCCACCCTGGACAGCCAGGAGTCATATCAGGGTTAACAACCAATGGGAGGAGCTTGTTGATGTAAATACAACTGGAAGCTCCCCCATGATGTCACCGGAGGTCATGCCATGGCCCTAGCCACCAGCAGGGCATTGGACAGGATCCACGACCACTGGATTCCTTTAACGGAATACCCAAAAGAGGAGGGGTAGATGATGGCGCATACCCAATCCTCCAACACAGCACGCTCCCACAGATGGCAGTGATGGCCACCAACTTGGATGGCTTTTAAAGACGATTGGACAAATTCATGGAGGAGAGGGCTGTTGACGGCTGCTAGCCATGATGTCTATGCTGCGTCTCCATGGTCGGAGGCTGTAATGGTCCTGAGCGCCAGTTGCTGGAAACTTCAGGAGGGGAGAGGGCTCTTGGGCTCAGCTCCTGCTTATGTTCTTCCCAGAAGAAGCATCTGGTTGGCCACATGAGAAAAGGAGGGTGGGACCAAATGGGTCTTTGGTCCAACAGGTCTCTTCTTACATTCTTTTGAAGTCCCACATGCCCCCAACTGGATGGCTCAGCCTTAGGCAGAGGAGAGGGACCATGGCAAGATGTGGCACATGTACATGCTCAGGATTCTGGGAACTGTTGTTCATCTAGGCACACACAACCTCTTCAGGTGAGGTGTTGACTTCACCACAACCCTCGCTGAACAGAATGTGCCCCAGAAGAACTCCATACCCTCCAACATTTCTCCAAAGAAAATAGGGACGTCCTGTTCCATAATGATGATGATGATGATGATAATAATAATAATAATAATAATAATAATACTCTGGGTGGTTTCCAACACATAATAAGACTATATAGGGCTGCCTTCAGATGTCTTCTAAAGGTTGTATAGTTACTTATCTCCTTGGCTCAGGGGTCACAAAGCTCCATACCTTCCAACATTTCTCCGATGAAAAAAGGGATGTCCCACCATACCCTCCAACATTTCTCCAATGGAAACAGGGATGTCCTAAGGAAAAGCGGGTCCTTCTGGGATCAAATAAAAAACTTTACAGCTTCTGTAAAATTAGGGTGTCCCTGGAAAATCAGGACACTTGGAGGGTATGGAACTCAGCAGGAACTTCCATGTCCTGCACTGGAGGCGTAAAGCCATCATGGCACAACAGCTGAACTTTGGTCAGCTGGTCTATCATTAGTGATCTCTCAGGGAACCCCAGTTAAAGATGCCCCTTAATACAAGAGACATTGAGCACCATGAACTTTGAAAGCTTTGAAACAGAAGGTTCATGATTCAATAGATTCCCCAGCCTTCTCAACTTCCCCAGCAAAGAGATTCAGACAAAGCAGGAATGGCAAAGAGATTAAAATTTGCTTCCTCACAAGAGACATGACCAGCTTCCCTATTCTTTTAATTTTTTTTAGCCCTATTAGAAACTAAGATGTCAAAGAGGAGGCTGTAGAACAAATTAATACAGTAAACTGCAATTAATCACCTGCACTAGATTGCATGCATTCAAGAATTCAGCAAGATTTTAAGAATTAAACAGCTGCGCGGCTTGAAGGGAAAAAAAGTAGAAAGTTAATCTATCATTAAAATCAGTTCTCATCCTGGAGTGTAGCCAGGGTTTTGCCGATCTGTTTGAAAAAGGCCTGAGGGTAATCTTGGGAATGGCAGACCAGTAAGCCTGACTTTAGAACCAGGTAAATTAGCTGCAAAAAATAATTAAAGATGGCATGGTATGATAGGGGCAAAGCAGCAGGGCTCCTGCAAAGGGAAAAGCTTTGCCTCTCCAGCCTAATAAGATTCTTTGAGGGAGCCAACAACACAGCGGATAAAGGGCTGCTGGCAGATAAAATTTATTAGACTTTTCAAAAGTCTTTGATAAAGTTCCTCACAAGAGGCTATTAAGAAAACTAGGTAGTCATGGGGTGAGAGGTAAAGATCTGTTATGGATTAGAAACTGGCTAGGAGATCGCTAGAAACAAAGCAGGAATAAATCTTCGATGGGCAGCAAAAGGAAGAGATTAATAATGAGGTACTCCAAGTATCCGGAGTCTGACGGCTGGTTCTAAATATATGAATATGTTATAAAAGCAAGTTGTTAAAATCACATCAGCTTTGCAATGAAGAGTATTCTGCTGGTGCCTAGCCAAGCTGTTCCTAAATTTATGAAATAAAGTATATGGAGATGTTATTAGGCAAATTTCTGTTTGTGTGTAAAGGTGCAAGCTATGGTATTACACAGGGTTCTTCAGCAGGGAGATGGTATCGCTCCAGGTTCCCTACTTTCACTGTCACTTTCCTGGTGAGGAGAGTAAACTGGGGCTTTATAATGTTAGGTGCCACCCCAATTTCTGGGGAATGAGAGATTCTAGGGGTTCCAGGTGGTTTTCCCCAGGGTTTGGTTTCCTTGGAATGAAGGTCAGTGGAGTCTGTGGTGTTTTTAGAATGTATGGATTTATTTGCACAACCTGTGCAGGGGATGGAGGGGCTCACAGCATTAATGCCACAGCAGAACTTGCTTTTCTTTTAGGTTTCCAGAGAAGTACCAAACCCAGCTTTGGATCCAGCACGGAGCAAGATAAGGCTGTGTCTCCCGCTTCCAGCATCAGCCCAGCTCTCTCTCACATATTCCCATGCACAGCCCCTTGGGTTTTTCTTTTTTCCCATTCTAGGATAAGGTGGCATCCCACCTGGTGAGGTGAAAAAGACACACCCATTTAGAAACTGAGCAACCTCTTTGGCTATATTCAATTGCCATACTTAACTTGCCAGCCAAAGCCTAAATTACCTTGACAAAGGAATTGGTTTGGCAGGCTTCCTCTTATACATTCTACCTGTTGGGAGCTTCAAGACTGCAGGTTTGGAAGGAACCCATGGTATCATCAATACTGACCCCTCCAAACTCCTAACGATAATGTTTCCTTTCTTACACATAAAGCTTTTCCTCTCCCTCCCTCTTTGGCCATGCAGCTAAGACTATTATGAGGAGGGAAATCAGCCTGTGAGAGAAGAGGAAACCAAGAGGCAACAAGAGTTTATGTCGAGCGAGGGGATACAGCAGGGCTCATCAGTATATATATCTCCATTTCGCCATGAGGTTCCCTGGGTGACCTCAGCCGGTCACAGCCTCTCACGCACCTGTGGAGGCGTGGCATGCAACGAAATGTAGGCATGTTCAATGTAGGAGAGACTGAGCCAGGTCAAACTGAGCAGGAAAAACAAAAAAGCCTCTGGTGCGCTGTGGATTTTGGAGGGGATATTCACTGAGACCTTTCACAAGCACCACAGGAGAAAATGGCAGGGAACCCCCTGGGATAGAGATACGTTTCTTTCACTCTTTCATAGAATCCAGTGGGCTCACGCAATGAAGCTGAATGAGGAAAGACAAAAAGAAGGACTTATTCACATATTGCAGAGTTACAGCTATGGAGTTATCTACGCAAGATGGATGTTACAATGAATATGATTTCCCAGCTTTTGAAGTACAGAAAACTGAAAAACATCTGTTGCAACTATGCATCCATTCCTGTGACATAAAATATAAACATATTAGGGCAGCAACTTTAATAAATAGGGCAGATTTATCTATTAAAATATGTTTTGAGCCACTAAAAAGGTACTTGGGTTAAAAAATTCCAAAACTTTAGTTTGAAAGTTTCCTGTACAGTATAAAGCTTGCAGGACCAGGAGGTGTTTGGCAGCGGGGTGGAGGGCTCCTGAAATTAATAATGGTTGTACAGTATTACCACTACCACTTTCTGTCCTAAATGTATGCTTTTAAATTAAATTAATCTTTGCAACAATTATAATGGTGATAATACTAACAGCCGTCCTAACATTATCATTTTTAAATGGAATAGTTGCTATAACAATAAAAAATTGTAATTGCATCAATAAAAAATTATAATTGCAATAATGAAATTAATCGGCGCAGTAATAAGAAAAAGAGGCACAGCAATAAACAGATAATGCAATTAACACAAAGCATAATTAATTAATTAATTAATTAATGGATTAATAACGATCTTTTTATTTGCTTTTTGCAAATAAGGACCCATGCAGACATCAGCCCCTCCAGAACCCAGCAGAACAGCCAATGATGGCAGGGACCAAGGGAGATCCTCCAATCGGACAGAGATCTAGACACTTTCAACCATTGAAGTAAACCACTGAGAGGACCCCTTGGTCAATCAGAACTGCGGATTCGCTCCGCACCCCCCCCCATTGGTCACAGTGCCCCTTTTGCGCCTCCGCCAATCAGAGCCTTTGTTTAGGGTTAACAAGGCGAGCAGGGGCGTGGCTGCCTGTCAATGCCAGCTGACCAATAGGAGCGCGCATCGGATTTCAGCCCCCGCCTTCATTCTCCCTCTCTGCTCCCTTCTCTCCCTTTGGGACGCGGCTCCCTCCCTCCGGCGTCGCGCTTTCTCGCCCTATTCGCTGCCTCGCATTTGCGTCACGGTTTTTCCCCGCCGCATCCATCCTAACGCCCTCATTTGGCACGGCTATAGGCTGAACCACCTGCCATCAACCCCCTCCGCACCTTTCTAGAGTCTGATTGGCTACTGTCCCCACTCTAGAGAGTCCCTCTGCCTCTCCCCGCTCCTTTCATCATGGCCGCACTAGCGCCTCTGATGCGCCTCCCTCCTCTTCTCCCGCCCACTCGCCGACTTAGTCGCCCATAGGCTGGTGACGGTGCCAGTCAGGCCCATCCTCCCTTCCGGCTCGCCTCTGCTCAGCGAGGGTTGGCGGAGACAGGCATCAGTCCGCGAAAGACCCAATGGGAGAGTCGCACTGCCTGTGAGGCGGCGGCTGGGGGGGGTCGGTTGGCTGGCCCGGTGTCGGAGGCGGCGGCGGCGAGGGGACGCAGGCAGGCAGGCAGGCAACAACGGCAGGGGCTGGAGGTGGACGGCAGGGGGGTAACAACAGCGGCGACAGCAGGGGAAAGAGGTGGGGGGGCCTGAGAGAGAGGGAGCGGAACCGGAAATAGGTCGGCAGGAGGAAGGGGCGGGGGCAGCAGGCGGTGGCGGCAACGGCAGCGGCGCGCGCGCCTGCCTGGATCCCGGTCGCGAGGAGGAGGCGGCGGAGGAGGATGTGGCGCGCGGAGGGGAAATGGCCGCCGAAAACAAGCCGGAAGGTGAGCTGTGAGGGATGGGAGGGAGGGAACCGAAGCGCCGGCAGGACAGACCCGGCTGGTTTCACTGACTGATGGAGGGGACGGCGGGAGGGTAGCCGGGAGGGCTGAGGGGACACGCGGCGGTGGCGCGCAGGCGGGAACGCGCGCGCGCGCGCGCAGGGGGGGCAGCCCCCTCCCTCGAATTCCGCTGGCGCCTCGCGCGCGCTCCCTCCAAAATTCTTCCAAACCAGCCCAACGAGGCGGTGTCTCGGCTCGGCGTCTCGGCTCGGTCTCCCGGCCCGAAAGTTTCGAGGAGCTGCTGCCGCTGCTGAGGGGAGGGGTCGGCGGAGGGGGCAGCCTGGGGGCGGGGAATGGCCGGCCAATGGGAGAGGGGGGGCGAGGAGAGAGGGGGCGCGCGCGCAAACCCCTCCCCCGCCTCTGCTCCTGGCGACCCTCCGGAATAGGATTCCGCCTCTCATTGCCTTGCATGACAAGTGAGGCGGGGGGTGGGGTGGGAAGACAGAGAATCGGGGGGTCTTCCCTAGGCGAACGGGGGGTTTGTCCCTGGGGTGATGGTGATGGAGTGGGTGTCCTCCTTGAGCTGCAAGAAGAATGCTGGAGGGGCGCAAAAAGAGAAGAGTTCGGCGTGGGAACACAAAACACACATACACACGTCTGTGCCTCTTGTTTGTTAGGCTGGGGGGTGGGGTAGGAAGCAGCACTTTTAGTCAGAAATCAAAAATATTTGCCTTTAGCTACTGAATACCTAAAAGAAAGAAAAGAAACCCCTAGAGGTGACGGCTGCCTGCTCCGTGGAGCGTGTTGGAGTTGGCATGTCCCGCGATTTGGGCTGGCTGGCCAGTTCTGTCAGTGCACTGTGATGACGTCCAAGTGGGGAGGGTTGGGTGGGTTAAGGTCCTGTGTGCTAAGAGAGTGGCTGTCTGGCAGCTGTGACATGCTCCTACATCCCTGTGCACACCAAAGGCATAAGCAGCATCATTCTGTGTGAGGATTGCAAGCGGACAAGCCCTGCCTTTGAACACATGGTTCACCTGCCAGGGTTTGCCAGTCAAAGGAGCGACAGAGCCACCTGTTCTCATTGTCAGTGGAAAGGTCTGTGAAAGTCACTCTTTGCATACTGGGGAAAGAGCTCTGGCACTTTTCTTTCCAGTCTCTGGCACTGGAATGTTGCGATTGCCCTCACTTCCTTTTGTATATTTAAGCAGGACATGGGATTGGTGCCTTTTCGTGTTGGGATATTGCAGACCGACACAGCAATTTGCCAATGGCAAATGCAGGTGAAAGTGGGCATTTACTTGTCAGTTTGGGAGATCTGTGCCTGATTGCATACAAGGACACAGGCACTCTGCTGTACGGTGTTGGTGGGACAGGCCTGCTTACTGAAGGCAGGGTAAGGTTTGAGCCATAGTGAGGTCACAGCAGGCGTTGCTATTTGTGCAATTGGAGGGAAGGGATGTTTGACTTCTCCAGATGTAGGGAAAGAGAGGCATAATTTTGCCAGCTCTTTTGCTGGGCTGTGGTAAGATGTGGTGGAGTAAGGGGCAGGGGAAATATATACATCCAGCCTTTTTATGTGGGGATCCAGTTTGCTGTTGTCACTGACAAGGGCAAGGCCTTGGAACATTAAAAAAAATATAGCCCTGTTGATCCTTGGTAGCTAGCATGGGCAGAGAAAAGTGCTGTGGTACGTGCATGATTAATATGTGTGTGAAAAAAACATCAATGTTGTGGACCAGAGAAAGAGGCAATGTTCTGGGCAGCCAAGGGCATGCCTTAAAAGGTAAGCTGGAGGCCAGGTCATCCTTTCTGTTGGTGGGGGTGGGTGGGAAACTGAATAAATTGAGTGGAGGACAGGGCCTTGCCTCTCATGGCAGCTGAGGCATTACCATATTGCTCCAAATAGTCTATCCTCTGCTGCTGTTCAAGGAGAAGGTATGGTATTGCTGCTTGGAGGTGCAAGTGGAGGCTACAGCAGTGTCATGCACGTAGGTATTTGGCATGCACAGGTAGAGAGGCAGCCGTTTGTATAGAATAATGAATATGTGTGATTTAAATGTGTGCATGATAGCATTTTCACCCTTATGTATGCTCCACGGGCCATCTCTGGGTAGCACAGGCACACCTGTGTGGCTGGACATTCGTCTCCCCCTCTCCGTATAGAGAAGTAAATAAATTTGATGGCATTTACCCAACTTTACGCTTAGGTTTGTAATTGACTCACATCTGCTTGTTTCTTTATGATGCTTCCCCTTGTTGCTTCCTCTCTGTGTTGTGGGCTTAGTGGGGCATGGGCTGGCTATTCAGCCCTTGGTTTACTACCACTTCTGCATCACGCTGTAAGACACCTGAGAGGGGACATGTTTTTAATGGGGTTGATTGACTGCTTTCAATTCACCTTCACCTCTTGGCACCATTTTGTTTCTCCTGTATATACTTCAGTCACAGGTGCAATATGGCCTAATTGATGCTAGCCATAACAATCTTAATATGCCTCCCTCACCTGTAGGCAGGTGTGTTGGTGCTATCCATTTAGGAACATTGGAAGCTGCCTTCTGTTGAAAGAGACACTTGATCCATTGAGCTCACTGTTGTCTACACTGACTGGCAGTGGCTCTCCATGCCTGGAGATGCTAGGGATTAAACATGGGACCTTTCACATGCAAAGCAGGTGCTCTATCACTGAGCTACAGCTTTTTCCCCCCCTTGTATTATGGGAAGGGCTGATCCTGGCAGTGTGTGTTCATTATAGAGGACAGACAACAACAGTGGCCCATGCAAAGTGAAAGCTGGGGCACATGCACCCAACTGTACCAGTGTTTCTTAGGGAAAGGGGCTAGGCATTCTAGGTGTGGCTTTTCAAAATGGGGATTGGTAAGGTAACCATCTACTACGGAGTAGTACTAGCTCATTAGTAAAGCACATGCTTTGCAGCAGGCATCTCTGGTTAAATAATCTTAAGTAAGAAGGTTTGGGGAAAACCTCTGTCTGGTGAAGACCTTGGAGAGCCCTTGTCAGTTGGAAATGGTGTAGATCATATTGAGCTAGATGGACCAGTGGGCTGTGGCTCAGTGTAAGGCAGTTTGAGATGTGGGAATTGCCATTCATAATAATATGCCCACTCAATAAACATACCCAATGTGTGATGTTATCAAACATTCTTTTCCAGTAGTACAGTATTTTGCCTTAGTGGCATGATCTTCCTTCCTTCTTTCCTTCCATCCTGTTGTTGTTTATTAAATTTGTATACTGGGCTTCAGCTGAAGATCCCAGGGCTCTTCACATGTGTGATGTGTGTACTTTTTTCTTGTGCAAATCAATCAATCTGTTCTAATGCTTCAAATATGTAAATGTGCATAACTTGTGTCTCCATCTCTCCATCAGAAGGAATTGCTCAATGCATGTCTTCCTTGCATATGTCCTTGTGTGCCTGTCTGTTAAAATATTTAGGCAATAATCCATGTGCATGCCATTTTCTTGGTGTAGGTTAGAATTATTTTGGTCCCACAAAATATTTGGAATGTCCAGTAAGCAGAGGAGTTTCCCTTGTTTTGAGTCAGTGGGTTTAGAGTTTGCTTTGGGGCCTGTTGGTGCAGGTGAGAGACTGTTGTCAAAGGCCTAATATTCAAAGTAGTCTAAAAATGAGAATGAAAAAAAACCCCACCTGTGATTGGGCTATGGTATCTGAGGTGCTACGAATCAATCTCAGGTGGCTCGTTTTATGTATTACAAATTAGCATTCAACTTCTTTTTTGATCGAGAGCTAAAACATTTAGCTGAACTAAAATAAAGTTGGTATGGTGCATGTCTATGCTTTAAACATTACTGCACAATGGGAGTGGTGTAGTAATTGAAATGGTGGCAGTAGTAATCAAGGACTCTAGCCAGGGATAAAATAAGGGATCAAATTGTTTGTTGTTTACAGCATTTTAAAGCAATAAATTTTATATTAAAATCAAATTGATTTTGTTAATGAATTCTCCACAAGTGTTTGAACCTTTTGTACAAAAGTCTTATTGAGATGTCACCTTGGTCTTGGAATTAATTAAAGCTCAATAGGTAAAAAAAGATGACTTGTGACGGGAAGAGGTAAAGCCTGTAACTTTTTGGTGAAGTTGCATGAAGAGAATACGGTTTTGAAAATCGGAACACGAGTCTTTTATTGCATAGCCACAAGGGGGTAGTGATGTACTGTCAAAGAAATTTGTAGTGTATTGGCTGATCCCTTTAAGAACATTTTAAATATACACATTGGGCTGGTATATATGAATGCTAACTCTGTGAGATATTTAATTTTTTTTGCAAGTAAAGGTTTTCAAGGGTTAAACATGTCCTGTCTTTATATAGGCTGTGTAATGCTGGATGGTTAAATGTTCTTTTCTGTGCTTCTGTAGTCGTACCTGCGTACACTTGCCAAGGCATCGGTTGCAATCAAAGTTGTTGTTTTGCATATTGCATTTAGAACTTCAAAAGTACTAAGGTGGCATGAGGTGAGGTGGGAAGCTGTGCCCAAACCTTAACCATACGGATATGACAAGTAGGAGATGTTTACTCTTGAGATTAAAAAGCAGGTTCCAAACAGCAAAAAAAACCCAAAACCATATGTGAATTGTTTTCTTTTTTTTCAAGGCTTTCATTCATTTGCATAACTTTGTCAGAAACATGCAACATTGCCTTTATTTGTACAGTGCTAGCAGGGCTGGAAAGCAACTTGAAATTTCTAGATGTAGTCAATGGGTTTTCAGTCGGTAGTAGTATCAGATGTCACAGAGGACTTGCACCCAATCAAACTGTTGTGGCTGGGTACTTGGGGCCCTGCATGCTGGAATGGACTTTGGGGGTCTGAGGGAGTGAAATGGCATATGTTCTCTTTCCTTATGGAGATGCTGCTGAAACAGTATAGAATGGGATGTTAATATGTGTTTGCCTTAATAGAGAAGGTGAAGAGTCTTTTGTTAACATAGTAGGTCAAAGGATGCCATTCAAAATCTTCCACCAGTTTTATAACTCTTGTGCTTTAAAATACCTCATTTGCAGCTGCACATATTCAGCTAAACATGTACTGTAGTTATACAATTACCCACATCTTTCCCCCCATTCATAAAATCACTGACTTGAGCTCCCAAATTCATGGCTTCTGCACGTCCATTTGCTGTGCGCCGTGGAAGTTTCGGGATAATCGAGCTTGCGTGGGTGAGTAAATGGAGAGGAAGATGCTGGCTTTGCCTTCTAAGATGCGAATAAGCATTTTCCTCACGTAAAAGGTTGTTGATGTCCTGTTTTGGTACAGGCAATACTTGAGGTGAATGAATTTCATGTGGGCTAATAGTTATAAGCCATAAAGTTGCTTGAATAGCGCTTAAAGCTTCATTCTTGTACAATGTTCAGGAAGTCTAGTTCTTTTGGGACTGCAACAGCTGTTAGTGTGTTGAGACGATTAACCTGCAAGGTCACTTGTTTCTCTGCTGCAGAAGGTCTGCTGTAAGCCTGACTTGCACCCTGTTTAAGCAGGAAGGTGTCATGTAGTCTTGCCATGCCATGTGATAGTAGTGTTGTCATGTGATATTCATGCATTGGTGTTTAGAAATGTCTCTTTGTGTATTGCCCTTCCTCAACTACATTCCTGGTCCTTGTAGATAGTAGATGTGAATGTTGGCATTTAAATTAACATTCAGAAAACTCTTGCTCATCATCAAACTCCTGTGAGCTCTCTGAGATTGCCATAATCCAAACTGCTTGATCCCCACCCAAAAAGAACATTTTACCTTCATTATTTTGTGTTTACTTTGTCTGTAAATTATTACATAATTTTTAAATGGGTTACACTGTCCTTTACAGTAGCTCAGATTGTTCTAGACATCCTGACATTAACTTGTTTTCCACTTAGTAAATATTTATTGTAATTTTAGTGAGCTGGCCTGTGCGTGGCCATTCTCCCTCTTTCTTGGAGGGGGGGAATGGCAAAAATTCTTTTTTGCTTTGCTTAATCACATGATACTTAACCTCTGTCAAAAGTATAAAGGGAGCCATTTCTCTCCTTTAATGATTGTACAAAGACAAGTATTTCACTAGTGGTTTATAATTGGAGATGCTGTTCCGGTTAACTTATAAAACTTAATGTTTAATAATCTCTGGACTTAACTGCGTGTGAAATCAAGTGGGCTGACCATTCTCAGGTCTGAGAATCTGACTGTATTTTGTAAGCCATTGATACACTCCCTAAGGCACCATGGATGAAGTGGAAAGCGCTGGTGCTAAGAAGGGAGTCATGTTTATCCATTTGTATTGAAGGGTGGCTGCCTCTTAACTGTTCTCTGCCACCCACAACAGGGGGGAATAAGTGACAAGGGAAAGGTGTCATTCTCAGTGGAGGGTTTTAGGGATGTTCTTGTAGTACAAAAGTCTTGCTCCTGTTGTGAGAATGGTTTGAAAGTATGGTTGTTAAATTGTTTTCACCCCTTAGTATTTCTGTCCAGAGTGCTGTACTGTATGGCCTGGTGGCTCACTTGGGGTGATGATGTACTTCCTGGGGGTGATAATGTTACCAGAACACAAGCATGGAGAAATAGTCGTCTCCACCAGGGCAGATAATTCAGCATTTAAAACTCATTTCTCAAACTGCCAGCCATATTTCTGGAGTCAAAAAAGTGTGTGTGGATTTTGAAGTGTTAAGTATTCAAGTGAATATTTATAGCAAGGCATAGAATGGGGTTTGGGGGGGGGGGACCATGAACAGATTAGTTAACAGGTGAACGCAGATAGCTGTGCTAAGTGGATTCTCTATTGTATAGATTTGAAATAGCTTCTTGCTGAGCTGCTTCTTGGTAAAATCGAGCATTTAATTTGAAAAATGAAGACCTTTGTGGAGTGTTAAAGCTAAGGGAAAATGTAGCCTGTGCCTATAGTTTAGGACTGGCAGTTATAAAACTTAATCTTCAGCGGGCTGGGGATTGGAACGGCATCTGATGATGTCTCTTGCAGAACATAGACATGTTATGATCTGGTTTTAAAGAAAAGCATGTTGTTGTTGTTTGTTTAAAAAAACCTCTCTGTCCAAAGGTCTTGCTCATGTTGGAGTTTGGACTTTGAAGGGCATTTCCTGTGGCTGTCTACTTTGATTCTCCTGCTTGTAAAATGTACTGCATGACGACGACGGCTGCTGTTGAAGAACTGTTCTGGTTTTATTGACCAGCCATAGGCTGGGGGCAGCAAATCATCAACAGAAAGATCTCTGCTGTGGAATTTGCTATATTAGTTCAGCTAGAAGCCTTAGCTGCCCCTGAGATTTTCATACATGGCTGGAATGGGAGCAGGCTTTTCAGCATTTAAGCAACAAATGGCTGTTCTGGAATAGGGTTCACTTTAAAAATGAAATTGTGCCCCCTCTTAAATTTACAGATTTTCGTCACTTGTAGAAATATTAAGTAACATCTAACTTTAAACTGATGGCTTCATCTAGAAGTGGACACAGATCAATTTTTGAGTATATTTAGAAATGTTACAAAATTAAAGGTTTAGTAAATAGGGTAGGAAACTTGGACTGGCAACTTTCCCCCAGGTTATTTTTAATGGAATGTGACTTTCGCTTTGCATTTTGATGCCTAGGAAACTGGGAAATACTGTAGTTGATAGTCCAGTCAGGTTTTGTCTTTTGGCTCCAGGCCCCGACAAAGATGCAAGGAAGCTTCTTGGTTCCAAAAGGTCACTGTAGGGAAAAGAACTGGAGAATTTCTGTGACCCATTGATTTATTCCAATATATCATTTTGAAATAACTGCAAGTGTATAGGTGTGTGTGTGTTTGTGTGGAAAGGACAAGTTCTTTGCTAGTGATTATCAGGAATCAAATGGGAATGAAAATAAGAGGGTACAGGTCTGTAAGGCTATTCTCTCCTGAGACCGGTATTATTTGGCCTAGTGCAACTGCATTTGAAATATGGGTTACTGTTCTGGTTGCTTCATCTCAAAAATGATAACTGCTCTTTCCCCTTTTTTCAAAAGGCAACCAATGCAATCAAAAGGTTTCAAGCACCTTTACTATGGGCAAAATATCTGGGGCTTTTAAGTTTAGAAGAAAAATGACTAAAAAGGGAATAATGGTTTTTAAAAACTATGTAAAATGTAGAGAAAGTGCAGATATATTTTTGTTCTAACTTGTAATACTAGAGCTTTGGGTTATCTAATAACTCAGTGGCGGGAGATTCAAAACAGTCACAGGAAAAGCAGTTCACACAAACAGGAAGGCATAATAATGGTATGAAATTCAGTTGTGTGAGCCAGAAGATGTGGTGATGGCCATGGACTGATATTGTAGAAAAAGGCATGAGGTTGAAGAAATTCTGGGAGATGAAAGATGGTCTTAATGGTTCTTCAGAGTGAAATTTTGAATCATATAATCTACCAAAAATGCGTCAAATACCCTTAATTAATTGGCACCTAGTTTCCCATCTTCATTTGATGCTTTTTAAAGTTTTGTTTACTAAATATAGATGTGCAATCTAAATTTTATCTGTTCTATAATAATCTAAAGTTTCCTGTAGCTAAATATATTCGGAGTGAAATATTTGATTAGGAAAAACATTTGAAGCACAATTACAGTGCAATCCTAGACAAGTGTACTTGGACAGAAGTCTCACTGAATTCTTGGGACTTAGTCCAAGCTAAGTATGTATAGGTTTGCAGCCTTAATGTGGTTTCAGTGTTTAAACAAATCCAAAGCTTTCCCTGGAAATTATTTTTATTGCCATTCTTGTAAAGACATGACTATTCAGCATCATGAACTTCCCTTGCATCATTTAAGAAGAAAATAACAAGGCATTTAAACCTATTAATAAGCTAGTTTCAATCTGCCCAAAGACCCACGTATTGAATATTTTCCAGGTAAAGTCATCTGAGAAAGTAATTAAAATGTTGAAATTGCCCAAATGCAGTGGCATTCTATCTACTCATTAGATTAATCATTAAGAAACTATGCATTTCTAGAACTGGGAAAAAATTATGTGGAAATAGAAATGGACATTTTCCTGCTCTGCTTCACTGGTTATTCTCTCTAACTGTTGAATGGAGTCTCCAGGATTGGAAACAATTGGCTTCTGAATACCAGTTGCTGAAGATACATAATATTGTACAGTGGTACCTCTGGATGCGAACGGGATCCGTTCCGGAGCCCTGTTCGCATCCTGAAGCGAACGCAACCCACGTCTGCGGGTCGCAATTCACCGCTTCTGTGCATGCCGTGACATCATTTTGAGTGCCTGCGTGAGCGGCGAAACCCAGAAGTAATGGACTCCATTACTTTCGGGTCGCCACGGAGCGCAACCTGAAAATGCTTAACCTGAAGCTACTTCAACCCGAGGTATGACTGTGGTTGATCTTGTGTGTTGTTTGGTGACTTCCTGGAAGCAGGAGGTTGGTTTGCTGGAGGGAAAGCCATTGGGGAATGAGGGTGTTGTCCCTGGGCTCATCCCCCTCACATCTTCTTTTCATGCTATGTGTAAGTTACATTCTTCCTGCTCTTTTCTTGAAATTGACTACAGCTGCTGTTTATATCTTGGTCATGAAGAAGTCTTTCCTAAACATGCTGCCTGAGGCAAGGGAGTTGTAGTCCAAAACATCTATGGGCACCAGCTTGGGGAAGCATTGGCAGAGTTTCTTGGTAGGGCGTCTACTACCTTACAATGTGAAAGTTGTAATGTTGGAATATATATATTTTTATACAGTCGTACCTTAGAAGTTGAATGGAGTCGTTCGACTTCCAAAACGTTTGGAAACCAAAGTGCGGCTTCTGATTGGCTGCAGGAAGCTCCTGCAGCCAATCAGAAGCCCCGTTGGACGTTCGGGTTCCAAAGAACATTCGCAAACCAGAACACTCACTTCTGGGTTTGCGGTGTTCAGGAGCCAAAATGTTCAACTTGCAAGGCGTTTGGGATCCAAGGTACAACTGTACAGAGGTTGTTTTTTAAAAAATTTCAGTACAGGTAACTACTTTTTCTTGTTGCAATTTTGTTCCTACACTTGTAGATTCTTATCTCTTACTACTTTAGCTTTTACAATAATTATGGAAAAGACAAGTGCCCTGTAAAAGGTGAGAAAACAATTTTGCAGGCTTTGAAAAACGACTGCCTGGAAGCAAACCTAAATGGTACAAATGCAGCCGCTCCAGGGCTTGTACAAAAAAGGCCAGCTAGGCTGTGTGGAGCTGGAAACTGCCCTGGCGTGTATTGCTGCTTTGTTCAGTTTTCAAGCACATGTTGAGCTTGCAGTCTGTCACCCAGATGGCTATTTTTAGCACTACTACTGCTGCTTTCAGAATTTCTCCCTCCCTCCCCCCTTTCCACTAAACCTTCTTGTTAAATAATATTCTTAGATGTATTTGATCTTACTTGGCGATTTGAGCCTGGCTTCAAACCTGTGCAGTTCATTTTATGCATTTCGTCTTCACTCTGCTTTCTCATGCATAAACTGAATGGGACTTAAGAGATAGCAGCTTGAGAATGCACATCATCATCATCATCATCATCTGGATTTCTTACACACCCTTCACCCTGAGGTCTCAGGGTTGTATGGCAGTGCAACAATAGAAGCAGTTAAAACAGCTTAAAATCAAAAGAATTTGGTGAGATATATATGTCGAAGGCCGGGGCAAAGTGGTGAATTTTCAGCATACAATAAAACCTATATACTGAAGTGCAATAGGGACGCGGGTGGCGCTTTGGGTTAAAGCACAGAGCCTAGGACTTGCCAGTCAGAAGGTTGGTGGTTTGAATCCCTGCGACGGGGTGAGCTCCTGTTGCTTGGTCCCTGCTCCTGCCAACCTAGCAGTTTGAAAGCACGTCAAAGTGCAAGTAGATAAATAGGTACCGCTCCGGTGGGAAGGTAAATGGCGTTTCCGTTCACTGCTCTGGTTCTCCAGAAGCGGCTTAGTCATGCTGGCCACATGACCCGGAAGCTGTACGCCAGCTCCCTCGGCCAATAAAGCGAGATGAGCGCCGCAACCCCAGAGTCGGCCATGACTGGACCTAATGGTCAGGGGTCCCTTTACCTTTACCTTTACCTTTACTGAAGATGCACCTCTGTGGGGAGGGAATTCTACAACGTAGGGGATGCCACGGGGATGTTCTCTCTTGGGCCAGCACCCCTCAAACATTTGTGGGTGGTACGACTACCCAAGAGGGCCCACACTCTTGAGATGGTCTATATAGGAAAGGAGGTAGCCTATTCAGATATTTGTGGCCTGTAGTGTTTGGTGAAGTATGGCCTCGGTGCTGCTGTTCTCTCTCTCTCCGCGCCCCCCCCCCCCGTACATATCCACCTACGTCAGCTGGGAGACGAAAGTGAACAGAGAAGTAGCATAGTTTGAATAGGTAGTAGCAGTTAGCTGCATGAGAGTAATTGCATTGAGGAGTTCTGTCATCACATTATTATGTAGTGAGAACTTGATGGGAGTAATCAGCTTGTTTGTGATCCAGAAGAACTGTGTGCAGGGTAAATAAATGACAAGATGTTCAGTCCAAAATATTACTTTTCCAAGCTTCAGGAGAAATGTCTTGAATTGGATAATCATACTGCAGTATGTCTCCAATGACATCTTTATTTCCTCTCTCAAAAATACTTCCCTGAACTCTAAAATTGCTTAGAGGCATAATCTAGTGATTCTGCCAAAGAGCAGTAACATCATTAAATACTTTTCACTGTTTGCATTCATATGCTGGCTGTTGAATTTGTTGGGAGTATACCTGCCCATGCTGTGGCTTCCTGCCCACCGCCTGATCTTGTGCGGCAGATTGTTTAGTTCTAAAACAGAGGTTTTCTGCAAGTCTCGTTCTGGTGGTTCACAGTGTGCCTGTATTAAATAATTGTATTGAACTTTAATTGTATTTTTATTGCTGCTTTTAATTCTTATTGTGTATATTATTGTATTACAATATGTATTCTTCGGACGGTATACAGTAAAATACAACATAAGAAATAAAAGAAGCAGTAAAATACACTTGGAAATAATCCAGCACAGTGCATTACAATTGCTGCAATAGGCAGAAAAATCATTTAAGTACTCCTCCAATACAATCAGCAATTTTTAAGTGGAGAAAAAAAGTTTGAGAACTACTGTTCTAAAATATAATGATTACCTTTTTGTGACCTAATCTTGAGTGTGTTGAAATTACAAGGGCAGGAAAAGACTTGACCTGACACAGCTGTTTGTCAGTGTTGGGAAGAACAGCCAAGCAGTGCAAGCGTGTTGCTTTTGTATAGTTGGAATAGGTTGTAGGTAGAACAAGACTGCATGTTCTGTGCATTTGTTTTATATTTGTAAACCAGTTAGAAGCCATTTTGGCATATAAGTGGTATATAAATTAATAAATGATGATGATATTATAAACATGTGTAAATATCTGCAGTCACAGTGGCTGGTATAATGCTCTTAGGGATTTGTTCTTGTGTCCTTGGTTCTTTGTAGGATGGAGAGGTGGAATATAAATACAGTATGTTAAATGAAGTATTTTGAACCCGAATGGAAGGTCTGTTTTATGGGACCCTTTGGTGGGGGATGTACGTTGCAAACAGTAAAAAGTTATTTGCACCAAAGCTTTGATAGTTAAAGGCCTACAGTTCCAAATCTATTGGATCACCAAATATGTAAGAACTGGTAAAAAAAGAGAGAGGGGTATGTGTATGTGTATGTAGAGGAAGGGAGGGAGGCATGATTTGTTTGCTGTTGTATGTTTCAAATTTTTATTGTCTATGTTGCCTCCTTTGGGAGGATGAAGTGCAAGGAATGTGAATGAGGCTATAAAACCACCAAGACTTTATAGAGTGTAATTAATTCAGAATCCTTTATGGACTTTTATTGGTTGGCCTTCTCTCCCTTCCCTCACTTACCTTTAAGACTTTTAAGATTTTTGTACCATGGAGTTTAGATGATTGCTTTGCAGAACTTGGACTGCTGTCCAGTCCAATTTTCCAATTTTTGAGTCCCACTGAGTTCAGTTAGTAATTCCTAAGTTTTGGCTTAGTGTACTACACCCAAGACACTTACGAATGATGCCTTACCTGAATATGTAGCCACTTTGTTATTTTGTCACGGGGAATTTTTTTCTGCTTGAGCTGTATTGATTTTTTTTTTTTAAATGACATGGAGCTCTTGTTCCTAATACTGAATTCAGTTGTGGTCTGCCACTTGCTGCTCCATGTTCTTGCCTCCTTTGCCCCAATTTTTGCATTTGTCCACTGTGCACATGAAATGAATAGTTCAGTGTATAAAGTGTGACAGTTTGGTTCTTAGCTCTATTTTACCCTTCCAGTCAATGTGAAGTTTGTATGGGTTCATGAAATGGATAAGAGGCCTTCACCGGTTTGGTCCTTCATGAGGGTTGTTGGCTGTGCAGGACTCAAGAGAAGACTCAGGATTCACCAGCTGACCATTGGTTCTTGCTGAAAGCCCTGTGATAAGCTTTGAAGCTCTGACAATCAGCTGATCAGCAGTGCCTGCAATCCCCCTTTTGGCCTAGTGCAACTTCAGCTGCCCACAGCTGATGCACATGGCTTTTTCAAAATGGCCTTGTGGATGAGGAAGCCTGGCTGGTCTAATTACTTCTGCAAGCTGGAGGTTCCCTGCCCCTTCCTGAAGTGATAAAAAGTTGATAGTTCTTGTAGGGACACAGATCCCGTTCACATCCAGAGGTACCACTGTATATCCAGACCAAAGGCTCCATATTTTGGTTTGTACTAAGCAGTGACTCCAGTTGCTGAAAGTTGATAAGAATAAAATGACGCATGATCTCCATGTCTTAACAGTTTCTTTACTCTGGCATCAGAACATGTGTAACCCAACAGTACTTCCTTTTCTGTCCCTTTTTATGTTACGTAGATGCTTCAAAGAGGAGCAGCTTTGCTTGATGTTCTGTCATGCAAGCAGCAACTTAGTGTGAATTTGAAAGAATGAAAAGACAGTTTAGATCTGAATGCCAGATCTTTGCTTTAAATAAGGAGAATGATAAAATCGAGAGGCTTCATTTCTGTAATTTTGGTGTTCACTGTAGACTTAGTTCATCAAGGCAGCATGCATAGTCCTTCCCTTCCCACCCCTATTTTATCCTCATAACAACCCTCTGAGGTAGGTTAGGCTTAGAGTTGGTGACTGGTCTGAGTCACCCAGTGAGCTTTCATGGCTTAAAGGGGATTTCAACTTGGGTCTCCCCAGTTCTAGACTGACAACCACTATACCACACTGATCCCTGAGTAAAGCTTCCCTGTCTGTCTTGACCTGGCTCTACTTTGTGCCTGAGCTTAAACATTTTATAGTACCGTATTTTTCGCCCTATAGGACGCACTTTTTCCCCTCCAAAAATGAAGGGGAAATGTGTGTGCGTCCTATGGGGTGAATGCAGGCTTTTGCTGAAGCCTGGAGAGCCCCACCGCCAGCCCCACAAGCTCGGGGGACAGCGGGGAGGCGCAGCGCGCCTTTCCCGCTGTCCCCCGACTTGGTTAGAAGGCTGGCGGGGGGGGGGGAAGCCTGCTCCTCCCCGTCGCCAGCCCCGCAAACTCGGGGGACAGCGGGAGGCGCAGCGGGAAGCTCGGGCTTCCCCCTCCTCCAGCCCCGCAAGCTCCCAGAGCTCTGGGTCCCGTTTTGGGGGCTGGGGGAGGGGGAAGCTCGGGCTTCCCCCGTCCCAGACCAGCACATGGGGGGGAAAATAATTTTCCCCCCTTTATTCCCCCCCCCCAAATCTAGGTGCGTCCTATGGGCCGAAAAATACGGTACTTTTTTGTCTGGTGAAGCTGATAGATGCTTATAATACAAGTCTTTCTTGAGGACTGTATTTTAGACCATGCACATTATTCCTGAAAGTAGAAAAACATTTGGAAATGTCAGTGGAAGATAATCTACTTTGCAATGGGATAAGATGTTATTTCTATGTCTGTCTGCCCCCCTCTTTTCTGCAAATTAAATGCAGCCTATATGAATAGCCGCTTGTTACCTACACCTTATTTTAGGCCCGGATGTGGTATTCTAACAAATCCTCAAATGTGCTCAATGCACACAACTAAGGCTGATAGTAGAATAATCCACTGCTAGTTTACTTGTACTGCATCTATGTTTTCCTTTTTGTTATCCAAACTTTTGCTTTTCCTTTCAGATATTTGATTATACAAACATACATGCTGAAAAATCTGGAGAGAGGGCCATATTTATTTTTAACTGGTATAAGCTTTTTTTTTTTTTTACAGCACCTTGGACAGTACATGCTGTAGAGTAATCATAGGAATTTAAGTTGAAAAGAACAAACCCTCCCCACAGCTGTGCAGCCTTCCTGTCCATCATGACTTGGGTTTGGTCTCCACGTATCCACGTAGGCAGCCATGCTCCAGCACACTCTAGACATCTGGGAGACTTTGTGGTTTAGTGGCCGTTCAATAGCTATCATGTTGCTTCAGGAGACTATAGCAGTTTGCAATGGCCAGGCCTCTGCCCTTTTGTATGTGAGGATTGGGATGCTATGGTTATGTGGTTCATGCAGTGATCCAGAGCAGGAAAAAAATTCTGGTACTATGCTTTCCCATGGAAACGTATTCATTTCTCAAAATGTGTTGTTGAATAAAATGAATCAGTAGCACAGTGGCCTAGGTCACATGCCACTTTAAAGCATAGTTAAAAACAAGCTGTTGCTTAATGAAGGCAAGCAATGTGCTGGTGCATTTACTCCCCCTATTCCTGCCTTCGTTGCATCGGGAGGGAAATAAACCAGAAGCTGGCTCAGTGTTACTTGCAAACAAGCGCTCATGATCTGTTTCTCTCAAAACATACCACAAGCAGTAAGCCAAGAGCAAACCTTGGCTAATGAGATTCCAGTTGAATTTTCCAATTCAGATTCTGTTTTTCAAGTGGCCTATGACTGCTCCAATCATTTGCAGAAGTGTCAAGAGTTGTTGTGGTGTTACTGAACCATACATGATCTCTTATACTGACCTGACACTCTCAGCACTATTCAACTTGCCCTTCAACTGTCATACCTGATTTTTTGTGTGTGTGTGGAGATAGTGAATAGAGAACATTATTTTGCATTATTTTCCAGTCTAGAACTGGAAGTTATTTGTTGTACTCTTTCTGGTTTGTGGTCAACCCTACACCAAACCCAGGACTCAGGCTCTATTGCTGTAATCTAGGACTATTCATGATTTAAAAAATAAATAAATCCCCAAAGGGATTGTAGTTTAAAATTACCTCTTTAGCTCTCCCTTGTATAGAAGGCATACTGGGGTACTGGGAATGTCTTCTGTAGAAGTGGCAGCAGAGATTGGATTTGCTGTTCTGACACTTCATTTAGTACCACTTGGGAACAAAGCTGCTGGCAGCTTGTGTGGTTGGTTTGGAAAGATGTCAGCTCATAAACTTAGTCTCCGCTTGTGAGATCAAGGGACTATTATGTCTGTGGTACAAGCTTAGATTTGTAGTGGCTCATAGCCTTATGGTCACAAGTGGTATTCGTAATGCGACAAGTTATGGAGATGAATTCTCTCTCTCTCTCTCTCTCTCTCTCTCTCTCTCTGTGTGTGTGTGTGTGTGAGTGAGTGAGAGAGAGAGAGAGAGAGAGAACTTGAACCTTTTGCATCAGAGAGGAGGAATAAGTTCTAAGTCTTGTTTTCTGATGTATTGTATTTACTTTTTTCCTCTTTGTAGATGATCATGGAAACAGCAATGGAAGTCATGTAAAAATCTTTTTACCGAAAAAGCTGCTTGAATGTCTACCAAAATGTTCCAGTTTACCAAAAGAGAGGCACCGTTGGAACACTAACGAGGTAGATACATCCAATTTCTGTGTTTTTCACTGGCTGGATTGTTTAAATCATATCACATTGGAATCAAAATCTTGTTCAGAAAGGCTCTGCCACCATCAGTGTAAAGCCACTCCCCCTCCCCCGGCAAGAATTGTCAATCAAGTCATTGGAAACTTAGCACGAAGTTTGAATTGTTTGTGTTTTTAAAAACAAACAGGCAGAATTTGTGGGCTCTGCTGCATGTGGCAGGTGTTGGCATTTGTTTGCATGTCTTGCATTTTGCTTCTCTCCAAGGTATAGTTAAGATCTGTGTGAATCTGATGTAAATGCTCTTACACTTGTCAGGAATTAATGAAGACGTAGCTATGGTGCATCTTTGTCTCAAGTGTTAATTTGATAAAGACAGGAGGAAGATGATAAAACTTCCCAACAGCAGAACTGCTCTTGACCCTGCTTGCACAATAACTTCCCTGCTTTTCAAATTGCTTTAATATAGCATCCTCTTGACGGTATAAAGAATGAAATCTAGCCATGTATGAAACATTTGGTAATGTGCATAAAGGCTTTCAGAAGTATTTAGTCTCTGAGGAATGTAGCATTCTCATGTCAATTTTTAAAAATCAAACCTTTTAAATTCCAAGATATAGTGGTCAAGTGTGGTTTGTTATAATGCAAAAATATGTGAAGAGATGTGAACTCTTATCCAAGCTCTTCTAAGTTCTTTGTTGACTTCTACAGAGCTAAGCACAGGCTTAAATCTCTGCTGATGAAATGGGTGGGTCTTTAAAGAGCATAATCTTTGTTTGGATTGTTCCTTGCATATCAAGTATTTTGGTGTAACTTTGGGCTGAGCACTGCATTTAAGCAGTCACACTCTGCAAAGGTTCTACTTGCAGCTTGTAGAAATGTATAGGTTTGTCAAGAATAAGTGGCTTGTAAGTAGTTGTGAATATATGCAACTAACAATCTGTGAGGGAAATGTATATTTGATAGTTAACTTGCTAGTTGTCAGAGTTGCTTCAATACCTTTATCTGTAACTTATTTCAGAAGGTTTCATCATAAATTGGGGGCACCATCTAGCTTAAGTTCAATGCTCTTAACATTCCATTTATTTTAGTGGAAAATTTTAAGCATGTGCACAGTCAATGGGATTTACTTACCTTTGACAGGATTGTATCTGTGGTGTAGAACATGCACCTTCACAAGCGGGAAAAAGTGTTAAAAGTGTTGATAGCAAAGTTATATTATCCTTGATTTCCCACTGTTTACCTTTGGTAACTTGTTTAGTATTTCATGGATTTTTAAAAAAAGCTTTTTGTGATTCCTGAGTTCTGACATCTTAGGTGATAACTTCTTTTGGCTTTGTTGTAGCTTTACTTGGCTATTTGTCTTGCAGCCATGCACAATTGGACTCTGTCTCTGTAATTAGTAAAGCTTTTCCACGTAGTACTCTTGATGTTGTTTGCAAACCATTTTGAATATAATTAGAAAGTTCTGCAGCTTTTAGCGGATAAGTAAGAAAGAGAAAACTCAATTCCTTCTAAAGGGAGTATCAAGCCTGTGGGCCAATATCTTTTGGTCTTTCTCAAAAGCATTTTCTCTGATTTTAACCAAATCTCTGGTCTTTTCTATTTCTGCTTTGAAGGATATGAAAATAGCCAAGTGCCATTCATAAAAACATGTGGGACTGGCTGCCACAGATTAGTTATTCATGATATGTTGATTCCTTAGGCCTAGAACTGCTACATAGACTGGAAATTTGAATTCCTGTTTGGGTTTAGGCAAGAAGCAGCTGAGTGAGAAGCAACAATAGTACCTCAGTACAGTTAGATAGATATAGGGCAGGGATGGGAATGGGCCTGTGGTCCTCAATGTTGTTGGACTCTTTCCCCACATGAGCATCAGCCAGCATGGCATAGTGGGTGTTGTAGACCAACAACATCTGAAGGGTCATAGCCTCCCTGTCCCTAATGTAAGGGCTGATCTTACTGTCATCCATACAGAATACCAATGAGGACCCCCCACCCCCAAGTAAGATACAGAAATGCTCTTGCAGGTTAAAGATTTCTGAAAAAATCCTTTTTAAAGAGTGCGAGTATGTTTGGAATAATCATAGAAACAAAAGGTGCCCAGATACATTGCCAGCTGTAGCTCTGAGATACAGCATGGTCCATGTCAATCGGTTTGAAGAATGGCTTCCATTCATTCCGGGAGGGTGGGGCATGATGACAGAACAGCCTCTATTGGGAGGCTGGAGAAGGCCTCCAAGAGCCTGTGGACAGGAGTTGTATTAGCAGTTGTGTGGGAAAGATGGCACATTCTCTGTGTAAGCCATAGAACAAATTGCAATTGTGACCTATGCAGCAACTTGCTTTGTTCTTAGAATAGTGTTGATCACAAATGTGTGTTCTTCTTTGAGTTATGCAGCATAAACAGTTGTACGATCAGGCACGAAATAAATTGTTGACTTTGCAGATGGTGCTCTTGAAGTTGAAGATGCGTCTTTATGGAGAGATTAAAGCAAATGGTTTCAAGTTCTTCAGAGCTGCAGTTTCATTTTTACTGCACTCTTTCTCAAAAAAAGAGCAGTTGCTCTTTTATCTTTGAGAATTCTTGGAGAACAGGTGAGGTCCCTACAGACTGGAGGTGGGCAAATGTTGTTCCCATCTTCAAAAAGGGGGAAAAGGAAGACCTAGGTAACTACCGGCTGGTGAGCTTGACATTGATACAAGAGAAGGTCCTAGTTAATTCAACAATCAGCCTGTGAGCATTTAGAAAAGGATGCTGTAAATACTAAGACCCAGCATGGGTTTCCCAAAAATAAGTCATGCCAGACCAATCTGATTTCCTTTTTCGATGGAATTACAAACTTAGTGGATCAGGGAAATGCCATGGACATAGTGTTATCTTGATTTCAGTAAGGCTTTTGACAAAGTGCCCCATGATATTCTTGTGAGGAAGCTGGTAAAATGTGGGTTGAACGAGGCTTCAAGTTGCAAGAAAGAAGATTCCAACTAAATATTCAGATAAACTTTCTGACAGTAAGAGCTGTTCAGCAGTGAAACAGACTCCCACGAGAGGTGGTGGACTCTCCTTCCTTGGAGGTTTTTAAGAAGAGGTTGGGTGTTCATCTGTCATGGATGCTTTAGCTGAGATTCCTGCATTGCAGGGGGTTGGACTACATTCTATGGACTAGATCCAACTCGTAAGATTCTATGATTCTATGACCATAGAGCACATTTTCTTATCTGTAAAATAGACAGGACAGCTGTAGCACAGAGTGGTTCAGATCAAGTCCTGGAAGGAAGAGGGAAACTTGGAGGAAGGATAATCTCAAACCTTCCATTTAGTAAAGTAACATCTGAAGTTGTGGGTGATGGGAAAGGTATACAGCCTCCTGATGAGGGATTTGCTATTAGCTTGTGGAGATTCACTTAAAGTGTTTGGAAATATGTAGATACACAGTTGCCCAAATGCTGTCTCTTTTAAAATAAAAGTCATGGTGTCTGTTCTTGTCAGAAAAAAACACTACTTGTTCATTTTTTTCCTTTCAAATTGGAGAAGGTAAATTATATCAGAAGTTAGTTTGATAATGTCATTGTGGCTTCACGTGGTTGAGACAGACTAATATACATTTGATGGTTGGGGGAAATAAAAGTTAAGGGTTTGTACAGCCATCATTGCTTAAGTTCGCTACCAATTAACTTCTCCAGCAGTATATGATGCATATCAATTTATATGCCTTTTAAAGAATTCCTGTTATACTCAGGCTAATACTGCTTTTATATGGCAGCGCCGTCTCTGGCTTTTTCAGCAAAGGAAGAGGGTGGTCGCTACATTACTTGGGGTTGAAATTACAAACTACTCATACCACATTCTTGCGATTCCCTAACACTTGTTCATACCGCGGTGTGATTTTTGTCTGTACATGCAGTCTTTTTCTTGGAGTTGTGATTGGCTTCTGTTTTGATTGGATTCAATTTTGGATTCAGTTTTGATTTAATTTGTATGCTGCCTTTTCGTTAAAAATTGTACTTAAAGCAACTTGCGATATATGCACATCTCTGGAGAAGATGTTGAAAGGAACCATTCCCATTTGACCATCAAAGCTGTAGTGGTAAACAATGATGTGGGACAGAACTTTATTCTTCCATGGAAAAATTTCCATTGCATAAGTTCATTAAGTAACAATGAATAAGTGTTAATAGCAAATACAATATTAGGCAATCATAGCTGTTTCAAAGCCATGTTTAATGTCTTTGAGGTGATTATCCCTAGTAAGTATGTGAGAGAATATATATATTTGAAGTCAAATACTTGTGGTGTGTTGGGACAGAAGATTAACTTGGGGCACTTTTTAAGCTTTGTTCTCTAAACTAAAGCGGATATGCTAAATGAGATCACCCTAGGGCATCAGAAAAAAATTCTGATGCAAATTACCCCAATCTTCAATAAAATCAAATCAAATCCTGGGAAACCCCTATCACTAATGCCAAGGCTTCAGTTTTGTAGCCACCAGCTAGGAGGGGAAAGTGAAATGGCCAGACACCTTCACTTTACTAGCTGAAACTTTCCTTTGCATCCAATTGTATTTGTAGAGGCCCTGCAGCTCTGTGCAAGCATAGGTGTTTGCCAGCTACTGGAGAACGTTTAGGGTTGGGCAGATAAGGGTAAGCAAAGTAAGATTTGGAGGAATTTGGATTCTTTGCATGATTAAAAGACAGCAGTGGCTGTTTCACTGATTTCACTGATATCCTTGAGAATTCTTTGAGAACAGGTGAGGTCCCTGCAAACCTGAAGTAGGCAAATGTCCCCATTCAGAAATGGAAAAAGAGAAGACCTAGATAACTACTGACCTGTCAACTTGACATTAATACCAGGAAAGGTTCTAGAACACATTATTAGCTGGTCTGTTAGCACTTAGAAAAGTATGCAGTGAATACTAAGAGCCAGCATGGGTTTCTTAAAAATAAGTCATGCCAGACTAATCTTATTACTTTTTATTATTTATTTTTGATTTGATTTACTTTTTGACTTACAAGCATGTTGGATCAGTGGAATGTTATGGATGTAGTGTATCTTGATTTCAGTAAGGCTTTTGATAAAGTCTCACACAATATTCTTGCAAAGAAGCTGGTGAACTGTGGGCTAGATGATGTTGCTGCTGGATGGCCATCTGTCATGGATTCTTTAGTTTAGATTCCTGCATTGCAGAGGGTTGGACTGGATGACCCTTGGGGAATCCCTTCCATATCTCCAATTCTTTGACTTGCAGGTATAGGGTGGTTAATAATAATAATAATAATAATATGGTATTGGGAGCAAGTGAAAATGATGCCATGTTTCACAGGACAACATCAGTCAGGAACCTGACCCCTGTAAATTGCAAGGTTCACAATGTTCTTCTTAATTGTAACCAGCAAGAGATTTGGTTTTTGGAATGTTTTCAGGAAACTAGGCTTCACCCTTACCTATAGTTAACTTGTAATATAGTTAATGATAGTTACAAGAGCGTTGGATGATTTGATTGGTTCATGAAATAGAGTATCTACAGTGGTTGTTGGACAATCTGTGCTGGCCAGGTTGGCTAACAAGCTTTCAGGGTGCATAGACTTTTAATATGTAGACTCACCCTTTTCAGGAACCAAATGCTAACATTTCTGAAATGCCCTTTTTGTGGGAGCAGCAAGACAAGTTTTGGAGTGATCTCCCAGCCAATAATTATGAAGGGCTATGTCCATAAGCTGGCCTTTATAAGGGAAGCCAGCAAGCAAGGTGGATACTGCCCAGCTCTGTTGATTTCAAAGTTGCTTTCCCTGTCTCACTGGAATGAGCAGATGCCTATTCCATTCTGGCAGCCTTCATGGTTTCCTCCCTCTAAGTGTTGTATAATGTAATGCCATTGTGATAAAAAGATACAGAACATCAGTGCCAGAAGCTGTCAGTTTAATTGGGTCCCAACATTATTGTTTTTATTTGCAATGTAGTCCACACATTATTTTATATTGGAAGGAATTACTCTCATGAAGTTATACAGAGCAAACTCTTCCCTGGTGAAGTTTCCGAAATCTCTTTACACAGGGACTTCATGCCTCTTGGCTTCCACAGTGCCTTTCTGTCTTGGCAGAGTTCATTAAATTGACAGAAACTGAGGTTACCTGCTGTTAATCACAGGCGCAGCTGTCTGTTGTGAAGTTTAGAGCTGGAGTTACAGAATGTACTGTAGCAATCTCTGTTCTCCAAGAAACATCAAAGCCACAGATTTATGTGTTTTAGGAATAGGTCGTGTAAGCAGGCACATTTGCACATCTTTAGTTCAGCAGTACAAAAGACACCCTCCTATCAGTGGGCTTAACACCACGCCAATTTGTACTGCACATGATAGAAAATGTTTTGGTAAAAATACACAGCTTTGGTATTCTGAGAAACATTTGACTGCCAAGTTCATTTTCTCCTTTTAGTTTCCTTCATGAGAGCATCTTAGTTATGACCTATAAGTCTCTCTGTAGTTTTCCATTGCCCTGTCTTGTAGCAACGTTCACACTTGCAGATTTCAGGCTTAATGTCCCCGGTCTGATATTTTGGTAAACTGTTTGTGCTGGTCATAGGGAGAAAGGAGAAAGTTATTTCCCTTGCTACGGCTGTCACCAGAGAAAAGAGTATAGGGGAGGGATGAAGACAAAACATCTGGCATAGTGTAGAAATCTTGGCGGTGCCCCCCCCCCAAAAAAACAAAAGTGCATGTGCTTTTCTAGGAATCCAGGTTGATGAAGCCAGTTGCATCTAAATCCAAAGTTACTGTGCCAGTCTCCCCCACCCTGATGACTGTGAATGCCATTCTGCTTTCTAAGCAGCTATGCAGCCGCCACTGTGTGCGAGGAGCCAAGATACTGATAGATCAGGAACCCCAGAGGAATTCAGGAGGAGAATTCTGCAGCAATACAGAGAATCACAAGTGAAGGTCAATATCTGCCTACTGCAATTCTTCTGTTTGTGAGCACCTTGCAGCCAGCCTGTCACAGTAGCTTTAGGTATTTATCAGTAGCAACCTCCCTGTTACAGAAAGCTACTGGCAGAGTGGCTTTCTCCCCCTAAGCTATCCTATAAGGTAGGCTGGCTATGAAACATCAGTCCATTTTTTTAAATGGTGCCAACGCTGGTGTGTTCCAACTGCCCCTCAATGAGTCGGGTAAATAAAGTATTTTTCACATAGAAGGGTTGGTGAGTGGAAAGAGACGCAATAGGCTGTCATGCTTGACTACAAATCTTAGTGAAGCTAATTTGCTATATTCTGTAGTATCAAAATCAACTATTTGTACTTGGCCGAATGTGCTGGGGTTGTCCCACCCCCCAAAATGTGAAAGTAGCGATAACTTATTAGGACACAGTACAAAAATATGTTGTGAACAATCCTCTGATGTCCTTTGTATGGAATGTAAATGCAGTGAGTTGAGTGCTTTGTGGTCAAGTAAGTTGCTTGTAATGTTTTGGCAGCCTATATAAGGAGGTCATCAAAATACATTTTCCTCTTAGGCCTGAGCCTTTGTATTACAAAGTGCTGTGCAGACATTACTGTATGAGGGTCAGACTGCCATTGAAAGCATAGCACTCTAGCTTGAACATAGTACTTTTGCTTGGAATGGACTGTTGAGGTAATAGGTTCAAATCCTGTGTTTTGCTGTTCTCGGTATTTCACTAATCTGGGGTTTTGTTTCTGAGATAAGGTTGAGTTTTGGATGCCTCTGAAGCTCATCCCAACTGCAGGGGTAATTTTTTACCCTACCCAAGTCAATTTAGCCAAAGAGGGTAGGTCTGTTTTCACAGTCAATGAATGTGTGAACCTCAGTCTCACAAACTAGTACTGTACCCCTGAACACCTCATCTTTCACCTGAAATGTCAGCCAAAGCTTAGAGGTAGAGTTTACACTATGTTCAAATCCTTGCATAGCTAATTAAAAGACAACAGAGTCCTACAATTTGGGTTTGGGGATATTAAGACTTACTGTTAGTCTAGTAGAGAACATATTCATAAATTCAGACTACAGTAAATACCAGGATCTGGGTGTCATCAACATATAGTTGATACTGAAATCTCTTCTGGGATATAGTGAGGATACCTAAGGAAGGGAAAGAATAGCAGGATGGTAAGAATAAACATAAAGGGACCCCCAACAAACAGCAGGAAAGCAGAGAAAGAGCTTTCCCTTGTGGAAACATTGAAAGAACAGGCAAGAGAACTGGCTGAGGACAGAATCATGGAGAGCTGGGGCATAAAGGGAGACAAGAGGGTGGGACAGGACTGAGGAGGGTATCAAAGTTGGAGAAGATGCTTCAAGAATTCCTGGTGTGGGTTAAAGAGGTGGTGTAGTCTTTTTTGGCTACACCATAAAACAGATGAGAAGGTCCAAGGATGAATTGGTTGTGGATGAAATTGGCCACATCTTTTGTTCTCCTCCAGAGGTGTTCAGCCGTGTGAGAACATGAATGGAGACAGCAGTGGGCCAGGGCTGGGAATGAGAGGAGTTTGTAGTCTCCTGGAAAAGTGGGCAGATATGTCTAGCTGTGGGCAGGATGGAATGAATTGAAAGTGAAAACTGCAGAGTCTGAGAAGGAGGCAAAGACAGCAGATGGAGAAGATCAGTGGATTGGAGGTCTTGGGAGGAGCAAGAGGAAAAATGTGGGGAGGTGGATGAAGTAGATGAGGCATCAATCTGACAGAGGGAATTTCACTACAGAAGCATTTGAGATTGAGTGTTTTTTGGTGAAGAGAAACTCAAGAGTGCCCTAGGCAGTGAATGAGGAGTTTGTCCAAAGCTGAAGAAAGAAGAGGCCAAGAAGCAGCTGAGTCAGGGCGATAATCAACGTGAATGCTGAAGTCACCCAGGAGCAAACTAGAAGTGTTGTCCCAAACTCAGGTCATGCAGGTCACATGCCTTTGAGCCTTCAGCTTCTATATCTGTGTAGGGACAGAGGGACAGTTGTGAAATTTTTGTTTGATTCTATACACATGCAATAAGACAAAGCAAGATCACTTACGGTAGTTGAAGACAAAATGGTCAGAACTTCCTAGAAGCAAAGGCTAGCAGTTATTCAGTGGAACGTTCTGCAGCATGTCAAGGACTGTAAATGTTCATACTTGATGGTTAACAGTTAATAGTTTACACAATAATAAATGCCATGTATGCAACACCTTAGAGATTATGTCTAATTCTTGACCTTAAAATTCAGGTATTTTGACCTGGTTATCTCATTTTTTGTTTATAAGCCAATGAGTTTAATTTTAAGAGATTTTCCACTGCTGGAAGCAGCTTATATGCGGCCGATTGGCAACATAAAATAATCCAGAAAATGGGTGCATTAGGGAGATTCCTTTAAAAATAAAATAAAAATAAATAAAATTTTGAGAGCTTGTTCACCTGTTCATGTATTTCACTTATGCTGCATTTGATGTCTGGCAGCTTTGTTGAGAAACATTTCTGCTTTTGAGAAAAGCGAAGGTTCTCTCTCTGATGTTATAGCAAGTCATTCCTTGATGTGCAGTGAAGCTTGAGTCATGCTTGTGAATATTGATGTGATGTTGACTTGCCCATAACAGACAACTATGTGTATATGTCCAGCGTGGAGGTGCAGTAGGTGCATCTGTAATGAAAGCAGACAGTTTCAGTCATGGCTGCGGTGCTCTTCTCCTCTTTCCTGAAATTCTGCTGAGTCATTTAGTACCCACTCCATGAGCTCCCTCCACCCCATACTCCGTCCCCTGCATTGTGCAAAACTGACTTGGCTACTCCACATTTTGCCTTTAAAAGAACCTTGAGGCAGAATTGAAATTTCTTCGTGCTGTGTTAAATTTACATAGTGCAGAATTTGCTGTTAATGTTGCCCTGCTGTATGTTTCTGCTAATGTTTACCAAATTAGCAAACGTTCCGAGTAGGCACAGTAATTTCACACGATTGAAAGGTTATAATTCTGGCTGATTTTTAAACAAACACATCGTACTAACTGTTGGGCTTCCAAAGAAGGTGATCAAAGCAGTGCTGTGTTTTCCTTAAACTGCTGCATGGAAGTAGCTTTTTTTTTTGCTGCTTTTTCCGGTCTTTATTATTATTATTATTTTAGCTATAGGTAATATCACCTAGTTACAGTTCCCATATAATTTACAACTTCAGCAGATCTTTAAATGTTTTTGAAAAATATTTAAAGGAGCTGTTGAATGAATGAATAAATTTGAAATGCACACTACTTAATTGTTATAAATGAATATTTCAGAGGAGTTTGGGATGAAACTATATTGTTGGGAACCATGAAAAATGCCTCTAGACAGACCTTCAGTTCATCATTATTTCAGTGAAAAGGGATTGGTGCCATGCAGAGTCGGTGAAGAAGAGAGAGGAAAAACCTGCCAGGCCATGTCTGAATTATCTCCCCCTAACCCAGCAGGAGGCAGGGCAGGGTTTGAAGTGAGCAAACAAACCCTTAAGCAACTTTGGAAATACTTCTGGGCCCTTTCATTGAAAGGGCAGTAGGGAGTGACTGGCAGATCCTAATGGACTCCTCTATTGTGCTTAAAGCCAATTAATAGCATAGTTTACGAAAAGTAGCCAAGGTTACCATTTGAAGTGCAGATTCCTTAGCTGATGGGGCCAATAAATCTTCCAATCAGTCTACTGTGATAGGCTTTCATCACTTTCTCTTTCTGGGAAAACTGGAAGACTAATTTTAGATTTGCCAGTGGCCTGGACTCAGAAGTGAGAGATGATTAAGTTCAGGACACTGTGCCTTTACGTACATGAAAAAAGTGTTATTAACAAGGGCACCATAAAGTGCACGTGTGTGCACGCTCCTGCCCCACAGCATTGTAAATTTAGTACAATTTACACAAAAATTTGGGACTCCAGCTTTGGGCTGATGGTTGTCTGTTCATAGTTGCTATTTGCAGTGACAATATGCCCCTCGGTTCTCTTTTCTGTGGCCCTGGGGTTTTTGGAATAGAACTCAGAAATAACTGACTGGTAGATCTGGCTGGATAGCCTCAGAGAGAGAGAGAGAGAGAGAGCGCATGTGGAAACTGGCCTATCTATTTGTATTAACATTGTTCCATAGCTGCTGCGAAGGACGTCCTCCTTTATTTTTTTGAGACTCAAGGCTTCAACTGCTTCATTTCACTGGGTTTCTATACCATATGTGTCCCATTAATGGGTTACTACCATCTCTTTAGTCTTGGGAAAATGACACCATATCATATACCCATGGTTTCCAGTAATTTGTGACTTTGTAGTACCAAGACCTTTTGAGGGACACATATGATTTTTGTGTGTGGTGTGTTGGGATTTTTTTCCTTTTTTGTTACATTATTCCAGTTCATTAAAATCCTTGTAAACGTTGAATAGAAGAGTGAAGAGATATTTGTGTCTACTGATTAACATCATCATCATAATTTTATTTGTATGTCACATTTCCATAGTTGCAACTATGCTCAAGGCGGCTTACAACATGACAAGATTTTCATAACTACAAAATTACATAATTACAAACATAGCAGAAGTCATAAACAATAAATAAAACACATCAAACGTACACAACCAAATGGAAACAATTTCCACGTAAATCATAAGATCTAAAAATAAAGATACAACAATGATATCAATAACAGCAACAACAACATAACATAAAAATGTGATTGATCTCTGGAAGCATAGGTATTTGATTGTCATCCACTGCCAGTCCTTTCACTAGCAGTATCTGCCATTTGTTTGTGTCAAATATGTTGTGATAAGAAAGCTTGCTGGTGATTGCACCACAGACTCTAAAATTGTAGCCTTGCATTCTGAATAAGTTGACGGGAAAGAATAATTATTGAGCAATAGGATTCTGTGCAGAAAACTTTCAACTATGATTTTGGTTTTGCAGTATCTGTTGAACTGTATGGTGCAATAGCCCACTTGGTGGCTTCTAGATGTTTTGGAACACAACTTCGATGGCCATGTTGATTGGGACTGATTAGAGTCAGGGGTCATTAAGAGAGTCAAGTTGGCTTCAGGATTGCTTTGTGAACTTGGATAAAGTGTCTATTTTTTCAGGGAATATTTCCTAAATTTTGACGGGCGAAGGATTTGTTTTCTGTGGAGTGTGTCTGGTATGTGTGCACCTTAAAATTCATGTAAAACTACCCCTTTGCTCACTTTGGAGAGGGTTCTCTGGCCCGAATGGCACCTCTTTAACAGTATGTTTCCCTGACTGTATCCTTCTAAACAGGTTTCTCCCTTCTTTTCAGCTGGCATTGCTATAGTCTGTTATATCCATTTATTTGGTTCCAACAATTTCTCCACCAAGCTTTTAATTGTGCCCATATGATCTTTTATGGCACTTTGTGCATAATATATGTGTCCCACAATATAGTTGAACAACTCTGGTGCTTTAGACATCTCTCTCCCCAATTCATGTACCTTTTCCTGAACAGGCCAGCTAGAAAATTGACCTATCTCTGCTGAATGTCAGAGCACAGAATCTGACCGTTCTACCCATTATTATATTCCTATTCAGTTCTAGAAAGGGAAGGTCATTAATGCACTGAGACAGTGAAGAGACTTTCTACAACTAGAGGTTAGCTGCCTCATGAATAAATAAATAAATAAATAATTCGGAGGGAGGCCTTTAAAGATGCTTGCTAAGAAGGTGAATTTGCTCTTCAGGTGCCTGAATATAGCTCCTGCTTTGCTTCACAGGTATCTTTCACCCTACCTGTCTTTTATGCTGCCCATTTTCCCCAAGGAGTTTTTTTCTGTCCACCAACATAGCTTCCTTTAGTCTTAATTTCCTGCTGTACATTTTTTCACTCATTATATTTTCTCCCTCCTTGTTTTGCGGGCTGCATCATCTTCCCCCACATTCTTTACCAAAGACTCTTTCGAAGTCTTAGTTTCTCTTCCCTTCCACCACTCTAATCCCCCACCCTCACCCCCATGGAGTTTCTGTGCTGCCTTCCTACTGTAGAGGTCAGGAACTTTGTTCTCCAAATGCCATTATGTTGTAAATAATGGTCCACACCAGCCAAAGGTCATAAAAGTGGCTAGTGTTCTTAGAGCTAAGCTGCTGTATTCCTTATTCCTTTCTGCTCCCTCCACCCAGCACTTAATACATGTGTGTCCTTTATCCTCAGGACTGTAACCTACTGAGTTCAATGAGATTTTCTAGTAGGTGTGCCTGGGGCTGCAGCCTTCCCAACTGTTTTGAGGGTAGCCATAAATTGGAGGGTTGTATTCTACTAAGTAGTACTTAAGTAGACCTATTGGGATGAATTCATCTAAGTGTGTCATGGCCATGAATTTCAGTGGGTCTACTCTCGGTCAGATTAGCATTGTATAGAACCTGACAAAAATGAATATATCAAAATACTTTATTTGCGCTTTCATATACATCTATTAGCGTTTTTTTCATTGGTTGCTGATTGTTTGTATTTTGAAAAAATACGAATAAAAACATTCTAAAAAGCACCCTAACACTGTATGCATCTGATACATTGCAAATCTCTCCCTGGCAGTAAATGAAAGATTATCTGCAGCCTTTTTAATGCTATGCCAATTCCTTGTATCAGTAGGTATGTTTGCCTTTTTAAAATTCATCTCCTGCCCTAGGCATGTAATAGTGAATCTTGTGCTGACTAGTGGTTGTATGTGAAGCATCAAGGGTTGTATTAAATGATTCTTGAGTTTTGCACGTTTTCCAGTGGCCTCTTCCTTTAGGACTAATTCAACCCTCTTATACTTTTATGGATGCAGGTAGTATTTTTTCAGCTTCCAGGTACACCAGCTTGTCTCTTGTTGCCCTGGGGACCTGTCCCAACTTCTCCTTTGCCACTCTCTGACCCATGCCCATTCCATAAGCATTAGTATTTCTCTAGGTGCTATTTACAGCACGTAATGGTAAGCAGGTAGTATTTCTGCTTCCTTCTTTCCTTTTCTCTCACTTTCAGCAGTGGCCACTCATTTTATGTGCAGCATTCTGTATCTGAAATATATTTAGAGCATCCACCCTTTCTCACTGAAATCAATTATTGAGTATTTGCTTGTATAGGCTTTTTCTATTTGGGCATCTCTATGCCCCACCCCCGCTACTTCTCATGTTGCTTTTGTTTTCCATGTGAAATAACCCCCCTTGGAAGCATAGAAAGCAAGATTGAAAAGGCAGCATTTCAGCAACTTAGAAAATGTAATATTCTTCATTCCCAATTCATTTGATAAGTGAGCCAGTTCATCCGCCTCTTTTATTCTAGTGCCTTGCACAAAGATGCTTAAATCGACTTTGGAAAATAGTTTCTTTGTAAAATGCTGTGTAGAAGTACCAGGACCTGCAATACATATTGTAGAACATTTCCTTGAATGCTGATTTCCAGAGGCTGAGTGTTTTGTGATGCAGCAGCAGCTAATTGCTGCTTCTGCCCTCCAGATAAGCAGGATAAACACTTTGATAAAATTGAACAAATTACTGCATCTCTGCCAGGGTTTTGTGTGTGCGTTTATTTTTTTGCTAGCATGTTTTGAGATGTTTGGTTATTGCAGGAGGAATGGAATCATGGGTAATTTGTGATTACTTTTTCAGAAATAAGTAAATATTGGGAATTATTTCCAGAAATTTGAAGCAATGGGAAGGATGGATCCCCTCCATCCAGGGTATGTTCATTGCTGGGCAGACTACCAACCCTCAAAACTTTATTGGCCATGGCTGCCCATGGGCTCTCTGGCAACTATGGAATGGTTTGTATCCCTGGACCTGCTTAAGGCCAATCTTCTCCATGGGTGTGGTAAGAACATGGCTGTCTGAGTCAAGATACCTCTGTGTGTTGGAAAAAAATGTAATAAATGCTTTAGGGCCAAGAAAAGTGAATATGAATCTTCTAAAAAATCTTGTATTCAATCAACAATTTAAAAACAGAATGATGTTGTTGTAGCTCAAGTGTATTAACTTCAACGGGTTGTATTCAACATTGGTTCTACTCAGAGTAGACCCATTTAAATTAATAGACATGGTCTGTTAAATTCAGTGGGTCTACTGTCTGTTGGTCTAATGTTGGATACCACCCCAAGTTTGTAGTTTGGATTTCAAGGAAAATCTTTTTTAAAATTTCAAACTGTTCAGTTTCTACACACTTTAGAGTGAGCAAACTTGGCCCATACATTCCTTTTCATCTCCCCTCTCATGGAAAAGGACACAGTCTTTACATTTGCAGACATAATGGTGAAATGACTTACACTTACCATAAATATTTGTAACTCATATTGCCATAAAAAAGGAATTCATGGGTTTTTAAAGTATGTGTGTGTGTGTGTGTGTGTGTGTGTGTGTGTGTATATATATCACACAATAAAATAGAGATTGTCTACAACAGATAAAGATGAGATGACAAATACAATAATTCAGTGGTTTAAAAGCAGCACAACAAAGGGAGGATGTCAAAGATGAGGCAAGGGTGGGAAGCTCTATTGCTGGGCATGCAATCAAAGTGAAGCCCCCCCCCCCCCCCAGCAATGTTCCAACCAAGTGCCACTCAAATGTTCATCACCCACACTTGAGTTTGATGGGAAAGAAAAGGTGTTGGGTGCCATTCTCATATGAGTTGCACCACACTCCACATCCCCAGATGATCTCACCCAGTGGGTTTGCCAGCAGCCAAATTGTCAAATAGGAATCCCCCAGCCCAGCCTTCTGGAACTGTCTGTCCAGGAAGGGCTGAAACCCAATTCCCATTCCAATTGGATGGTCCAGAATAGTGCCCTATTCAGTGATATCAAATGCCATTGAACAGTCCAGTAGAACCAGCAGGTGGCACTCTTACTGTTCTCTTCCCAGTGTGGTTTGACCAACTGGGTAAGAACAGCCATAACAGGACCTTAATCTATTTCATCTGGGAGAATGTGGACTGATGTCACTACCACATTTTCAAACACCTTGCTCGGAAAAGGAATATTAGTGATTACCTGGAATATGGTGGGATTCAGTAGGGACTATGTTAGCAAAGCTCTTAACCACTACCTCATTTAATAAGAAAGTGTTTATCACTCTCCTTACCCACTTGGTCAGCCCACCCCTGGATATCTTTGTCCACCAGAAAGTATAAGGACAGAATATGTTCTTAGTTTATCTACTGACTCTGCCCTAACCATTATGGTTTAGGGACCCCCTCCCCTAATGTAAGTTTGACACTGGGCCCTATTTAGTTAATTAATTTTTGTTATAGTGTGAGAGGTCGAAACAGAAAGCTGCAATGATCTACAATGGTTCAGAACTCTGACAAACAAGAAGAAACATGGTGATGTGTAGCCCTTGAGCCACATCACAACAGTGGTTGAATTCTTACCACACGATGTGAATAATGTTATGAATTAAGCTGAACATGTTTTCTGGAATGGTCTATACTTCAGTAGCTAATAAACTTCTGGCATTCATGTGATTTTGTGTGTAAGCACAATTTTAATCATTGTGCCCCCCATCCCCACAAATCATTTTATTTTTTCAAGTTTTTTGTGGGTTGTATCAAGTGTTGTCACTTTAAGGAGACTAATTGAAATCAATGGACATGCCTAACTCAGGTCCACTAATTTCAATTGGTCTATTCTGAGTGAAACTTAGTTCAGTGCAACCTTACATGTAAAATATTCAATATTTTGCAAAGTTTTGGAGATGAATTTTTGTCAAAAGGCAATCAGCCATGTCCTATACCTTACATTGGGGCAATAGGGAGGAAAAGTTTACTTTAGTGAAGGTTAAAAACTTGTTGTCGATTCTATAAGAACTATAAAAGGCTTTCAGTTTTACTCTGAAGCTCCTTAAAAAAATGGGTGCATGTTGTTCTTAGACATTGCCTTGTAGCTCAGATGTTAAGACATTAATAAAGAAATGTTCTGTGTATGCTTTGATATACTTGTTCTGAAACACCCCACGTAGGCATATGTTAAACGCATTTGTGGCAGTTTCACAAGAAACCTTGCAGTTTCAGTTGTCAAAAGATTTAATTTGTCCTGTGTGAATTTGGCCTTAAGATATTCATCTTCAAATGAGTCATCACAATAATCACCCAGCCCTTCACCAGCTAGATGTTCACCATCTTCTGAACCCAGTGCCAGTTTTGGACTGTGCACATATCAATGCACACAAATCCATTTTTCTGGCAGACACATTTTGGCTCATTGATGCAACCACAGGCTAGATGATCAAGTACACCCTCAGTGTATTGTATACATATGTATGATTTGGGTGACTCAAAGCTTACTGTCAGTTTCTTCATTAATCTGTTTGTGCATACAGTATTGGGTACTTTTAGCAAGTGAGTGCTGCATTTGAGTGTCTTGTGCACCAACAAAGTATCGGCTTGGACAAGAGACTGTGGTATCTGGTAGAGTTTGGGTTGTGTTTTCAGGGGGCTCAAAGTTTACTGTGGGGTGCACAAAGCCAGTTCCCTATTAATTTATACATATTTTTTGCTGTTATTGGCAGTGCAGTATAGCTTGACTATGTTTGTTGCCTTAACAAAGCATTGGGTTGGATGTGATTCTGTGGCAAACTGTAGAAGATGCTGCACTGGAGATGTGAGTGAGTTTGCAAAGCACTCTGATTGTTGTAATTCCTTAACCAGATCGCTTCACCTTTCTGCATAATTTAAGTAATGATCACACACCAGCTGCATGATGCCTGCAGGTCTGCCGCCTATTTTCCATCTCTTAGGTTGTAGACCTTTCCAGGAATGATACACACAGTATTTTTAATCAGGTATGGTATGAATTTTCAGTGTGGTTTGTGGACTAATATAGATAAATTCAGACTGGGTGCTGTTTCATTAGCTGCCTGGATTAAGTCGTGTGGTGTTTCCTATGTAGCTTACGTGTTTTTTATTACTTGGATTTAAATAGGGAAATGTTAAAAATGCCTTTTTAAGTTTAGCATGAATTTAGTTACATGGAATGTAATGTTTAGTTCTGGGGTCTGGA